GACTTGCTTGGCACAGACACGCCAAATGAGGGCATCTTGAAGGAAGGCATTTTGAACTTGCTGTCCTTGATCTTGATGTCCTTGTCTCCTAGCTTGGTGTCTCCCTCCAACTTCACCTCGTCCACAGAGAGCCCGGGAACTGAAGCATCCACCGAGACCTTGGGCAATGACACGTCCACATCAGGGATGCTGGCATCCACCCTAGGTCCCCTCACGCCCACCTTGGGCATCTTGATACTGGGCATCTGAACCTTGGGCAGGTGTCCTTTAATCTTGATGCCTTCGTCCTTGCCCTTCAATTCTCCTACAGTGAGTTCTAATTCTGGGAGGGATATGTCCAGCTCGGCCCCAGGTAGGGAGATGCTGTCAGCAGAAGAAACTCCAGCTGGTGTGAGCTCTACTCCTACAGAGGGCAAGGAGGCCTGCACATCATCTTTGGGCAAGTCCATGGAGGTAACCAAGTCCTTGCTTGGAGCCGACACGCCGAAGGATGGCATCTTGAACTTGGGCATCTTGAACTTGCTGTCTTTGGCAGCAAAGTCCTTGTCACCGAGGAGCACATCGCCCTCGACCACCTCCACACTGGGCAGAGATACTTCCACATCTGGAGTATCCACTTCCCTACCGGGCTCCTTTGCATCCACTTTGAGGCCCTTAATGTCCACCTGGGGGGTCTTGAAATCCACTTTAGGCATCTTGACATGGGGTATGTGGGACTTTGGCAAGTGACTTTTGTGTTCAGCCTCCAGAGCTTGTCCTACAAGCCCTTCCTCAGACAGCTGGCCCTTGGGGATCTTCAGGCCCACTTTCGCACTCTTTCCATCCCCATCAGCAGATGGGAGTTGAATGTTGATGTCCCCAGTCTTGACTCCTCCCTCAATGGAGGGCAACGACACGTCCATCTGTGCTTCTGGCAGAGACACATCCACCGAACCCTTGATGGACTTGCTTGGCGAGGACACGCCTAAGGATGGCATCTTAAAGGAGGGTACTTTGAACTTACCATCCTTGGTCTTGACATCTTTTCCTTCCAGCCTGACCTCCTCCAGCTTCACCCCTTCCATGGAGATCCCATGGGTTGGTGCATCCATTGAGACCTTGGGCAGTGACACATCCACACCAGGCAGACTGGTGTCCACCTTGGGGCCCTTCTTGTCCACTTTGGGCATCTTGATCCCAGGCATCTGGACCTTGGGCAGGTGTCCTTTGATCGTGATGCCTTTGCCCTTGCCCTTCAGTTCTCCTGTGGCCAGCTCCACCTCTGGGAGGGACATGTCCGGATCGGCCCCGGGTAGGGAGACGTCAGCAGATGGAAGTGGGATGTTTGCTTCAGTGGGTGTGAGCTCTTCTTCTCCGGAGGACAAGGAAGCCTCCATACTCACTGTAGGCAAGTTCACAGAGGTTCCCAAGTCCTTGCTCGGAGTGGACACCCCAAAGGATGGCATCTTGAGCTTGGGCATCTTGAACTTGCTGTCCTTG